AACTTGGAGAACTTTTCACATTGCAAAACTGAACCTGTGCTATTAGTCTTGTCTTAACTTTCTCCTTGTCACTCAAAAGGAGCTCTTACCTGTCTTTTTCCTCCCAATCAGAGGCTCACTCTTCTGATTATTCTTCAGGGCAATGACGTAAATTGTGTACTCGGTTCCTGGTTCCAGGCCTATTGGAGGAAGAGAACCATCACATTGTCAGTCGGATCCACTAGCCAAGGGGAAGTCGTGTCCCTTGCAGAAGCTACAGTGAGCACGACTCTTTTCTCCTGCTGGTTGTTGGCCTCTTGAAAAGTAAAATCAATTTCACTTCTCTTCCATAAACACCCAGATACGCTGCATGTATACGAAGGCCCTGAGGCAAATTCATTATTTTGTTATCCAATTTCATACCTGAACATGTACTTTTAGGCTAACTTTTCTGGGATACTCTTGTAACATGTGGTCTTACTGCCGTTTTGAACTTAAGAAAAATCTATCAGCATCATGTACTACCAGTGGAATACAAGTTTGGAAGAAATCATCGCAGATTATACACATGAATCTGCTTAGGCCTAATAACCAGGAGTCTTCAAAGGCAGATCAAAGACAAGTGAAACTAAAGACAAACCATGCAGGGGAGAGAATGAGCAGACTTTACGGAGTCTCTGTAGGAGATATCCAGTTCAACTGGTCCCATATCCGATTTTATTTTCCTGTCTCCAAAAATACCAGTATCTCCTTCTGGCATCGGTATATTCTATAGGAATTTTTATGTTCAGATGATATCTTATATATATTTTCTATATTTAATTTCTGAGACAAGAATAATACCAGAGGGTTGTAACATTTCCCATTACAGTGGACAACTCCTATTCCTCAATTCCAGGCAATCTCTCTAACAGGAGTGGTTGGGAGAGCTTTGCCTTGAGACCTATTCTATGGGACTGGATACCCAGGGCAATGGCAGGTGGTACGAGATCATTAGATCTACAGGGAGCTGAATGTAACGACAGGATCATAATTAGCTAGTTTGCTTTGAAAAATGTCTTTTTCCAGGACTGACCTGACAGATACCTGGAATACTCAACAGCAATAAAAAAAAAAAAAAAAAAAGTCTACTGATGTCATTAGGATGATAGTGAAATCTCATTTTCACGAAGTTATGCCTTTAAGATGTATTGCGCTCTATAAGGCATACACAGAGAATGCTTTTTGAACTTATTAGGAAAAGAGTGTCTTGTTTTCATGATACAGCATCAAAGAAATAGTTGGAATTTGCCTAGAATGTCATGTGTCCTAGGCATAAGGAGGAAAATCACAACATGAAAAGAGGAATACCAGTAATGGTGGCCTCTGTGACACCAGGGCGGGGCCGAGGGACGACTTCTCTGGGAGGGGACCCAGGCTTCTCATACTTGATGATGTAGCCGGTAATTCTGGCACGGGGTGGTTGCCAAGATATCAGCAAGGAATTGGGTGTGCTGGCCAGGAAATGCAGGT